GCTCAGGACGCCCCGCCCGTCAGGCAGGTCTTACTCATCGTCCGGGGTCAGCTGCACCGGCTCGCTGGTGAACTGCGTGTCGAAGTTGTCCAGGCCGTAGTCGTCCGTTATCTGCGGCTGGAAGGGCGGCAAGGCCTGCTTCTTCCCCAGCTGCAAGAAGACACGCGGTCAGACCCACGCGCGCCGGCTCGGCGCCCGCTTGGAGTTTGCACAAACATAAACCACGGAATCGAACAGAAGAGACCGACTTTAAATATGCCTTATGTTTAAAGACCGATTGTTTTTCTCTTAAAGCAAAGTCCAGCAGGAAAATTTTCCAAAGTCACAAAAACCCTACTTGAGCTGAAAAATGCTGGCAGCGCAGGCCGCGCGGTATGTACCTGGGATGGAGCGCAAGGCCCAACCACCCGCGTGGGATCCCACGCCATCTGGGGTCTGCGCCCCCCTCGGCAGCCCCACCACTTAAACCAAAGGAGGTGGGTTTGGGGAAGTTTCTTCCTTTCTTAATCTGGGAACCCAGGTCATAAAGGAGCTGGGACCTGGCAGGGACACCCCTGCCCACACTGGAACCCCTTCTCCCAAAAAAGCCTAAAGTGGCCATTTCTATGGGTTTTTTTTATATATGTAAATTTATCTTTGGCTGCATTGGGTCTTCACTGCCTTGCAAGGGCTTTCTCTAGTTGTGGCGAGCAGGGGCTACTCCTCGCTGCGGTGCGCGGGCTTCTCTGCGGTGGCTTCTCTTGCTGCGGCGCATGGGCTTCAGTAGTTGTGGCACGTGGGCTCAGTAGTCATGGCTGGCGGGCTCTAGAGCGCAGGCTCAGCAGCTGTGGCACACGGGCTTAGTTGCTCCGCGGCATGTGGGATCTTCCCGGACCAGGGCTCGAACCCGTGTCCCCCGGATTGGCAGGCGGATTCTTAACCACTGTGCCACCAGGGAAACCCTCTATGTATTTCTAATCCCAACGGGATGCACGGCAGTAAAATGCTTGTCAGGCGGGAAATGGGGCGTCTCAGGACCCAGACTCTCCTTCCTACTCGACATTTAGGAGGATGAGACACGCTCATGCCTGGAGAGGGCGAGTCGCGCGCTGGGGCAGAGCAACTCAGCACCGCACCGCTCACAGTGAGGACGGAGGAGGGCGAGGATGGAGCGGCCCCCACGTTCACACACTCGGTGACATAACCCACCCTCCCACCCCCCACCCAGGTGTGCGCTGCGCACTTGTGCTGGGCCAGGCGCACTCCTAAGAACTCAGATCGAGCCGTAAGTGAGAGATAAGGTCCTGCCCCGTGGGGTCTGCTCCCACCCACAGCAGCCACGTGTGAGCCAGCAGCCAGCCCTCCAGCCCGGAACCCTCAGCTCTCAAGGGCCGGAGCAGCTTGATTGAGGAAAAGGATGACCCAAGCATTTCGGGACTGGCTGCCCCCCTCCCTTGGAGGGTCTGAGTGAGCGCTGAGCCTGGAAACCTCCACCTGGGTGGGGCCTCCGCGGGACCCCGTCCAAGACGTGGAACTGTCCCAAGGCCCCGTGTGGGGAGAGGGCGACAGCCGAGTCAAAAATAAGCCCCCAGCCCACCTCGGCTCACACCGGCTCTTTGCACTGTGGGACCCAGAGCCATCAGGAGCTCCAGTTATAGCACGAGAAACAAACTGGGCCTGGAACGTTGAAACACGTTCCATAAGTTTGGGGGACTTGGGAAGGACGAACGCAGGTTCTGCTGGCGAAGTTGGTGCATGAAATGAGGATATGCCACAGAAACAGACGAATCCTTCCCAGTAACGCCCAGGTGTCAGGGCTGAGGCCAGCACACCTGCCAGGGCCCTGGCAGCATCCATGGCCAGGCCACGGGGCAGAGGAACGCCTGTCTCTGTCACCCAGGGGATGCAGGAGCAGAGGGAACGGGCCGACCCGCAGGCAGAGCGGGGTCACCAGTGTTTGCGTGCGTGCATGTGTCTGCACACCCG